ACAGCATGGTGACTATAGTTAATAATACTATATTGTATATTTGAACATTACGAAGAGTAAATCTTAAAGTTTTCCTCTCAAAATAATTTATGTATGACAATGGCTATTAATTACATTTATTGTGGTAATCATTTGACATTATATACAAATACCAAGTCATTATTCGTATACCTGAAACTAATATAATGCTACACGTCAATTAAAATAAATTTTAACTTTTAAAGAGAGAAAAATTGGAAGTCCCATTAAATGGTAAAAAACACAACTGGAAGAGACAGAGACACATCAGAAACAAGACATGACAGAGATGTTGGAATTATCTGAGAATTTAAAACAACTGTGATTGGGGCGCCTGGGTGGCTCAGTCGGTTAAGCGTCCGACTTCAGCTCAGGTCATGATCTCATGGTCCGTGGGATCAGGCCCCATGTAGGGCTCTGTGCTGACAGCTCAGAGCCTGGAGCCTGCTTCAGATTCTGTATCTCCCTCTCTCTCTGATCCTCCCCTGCTCACGCTGCCTCTCTCTCTCTCAGAAATAAATAAAAATATTAAAAATCTAAAAAAAAATTTAAAACAACTGTGATTAATGTGATAAGGACTCTCGTGGATAAAGTAGACCGTGTGCAGAAACATGGATAGTAAAAGTAAAATACTAAGACAAAAAAAATATATATATAAACAAAAATGAATGCATTTGATGGGCTTATTAGTAGACTGGAAAGATTATATCAATAGAGACCTCCAAAACTGAAAAGTAAGAGAAAAAAGACAAAAAAAAAAAAAAAAAAAACAACCCATAGACTGTAGGACAACTACAGAATGGATAGCATATGGATAATGTGCATACCAGTAGAAGAGAGAAAGGATTGAAAGAAGTATTTAAAACAATTATGACTGAGAATTTCCCCCAAAGTAATGTCAGACACTCAACTACAGTTCCAGGAGCTAAGAGAACACTAGCCAGGATAAATGCAAAAACAAAAACAAATTTTAAAAACTATACCTGGGCATATCATTTGGATTTACAGAAAATTGAAGTTAAAAAATCCTGAGATAAGCCAAAGCATTGAAGCACCTCACCTATAGAGGAACAAAGATAAGAATTCAATCCAGGGGTACCTGGGTGGCTCATTCAGTTAAGCATCTGACTCTTGATTTCGGTTCAGGTCATGATCTCATGGTTCATGAGATTTAGTCCCACGTTGGGCTCTGTACTCACAATGCAGACCTGCTTGGGATCCTCTATCCCTCTTTTTCTGCCCCTCCCCTGCTCGCTCTTGCGCGCGCGCGCTCTCTCTCTCTCTCTCAAAATAAATAAACTGTAAAAAAATTAAATAAGAATTACATCCAATTTCTCCTCAGAAGCCATACAAACAATAAGAAAGTGGAATATTTAAAATTCCATATTTTTTCCATAAAATATTTAAAGTGAAATATTTAAAATCTTAAGAAAAACACCTCACCAACCTGTGAAATTATCCTTCAAAACACTGAATAAGATACAAACACTTTTGCAGAGAAACAAAAATTGAACTTTTTGCTAGTAGACCTGCCTTGCAAGAAATATTAAATGTTTTAGGGGTGCCTGGGTGGCTTAGTTTGTTTAAGCATCTGACTTTGACTCCAGCCATGATCTCACAGTTTGTGGGTTCAAGCCCCACATTGGGCTCTGTGCTGACAGCTGAGAGCATGGAGCCTGTTTTGGATTCTGTGCCTTCCTCTCTCTCTGTCCCTCCCCCCACTCATTCTCTGTTTCTCTGTCTCTTTCAAAAATGAATAAAAGTTTAAAAATTTTTTTAATTCTTTAAAGAGAAGGAAAATGATAAAGGTCAGAAACCCAGATCTGCATAAAGAGAACTGAAGAAGGAATAAGTGGAGATAAAATAAAACTTGTTTTCTTAATTGATGTAGCATAATAGTTCATAGTAATAATAGCAACAGTGTGTTTACTATATGTGCTTACATGAATATACAGTATGCAGATTACACATACTTAAATATAAGTGAAATGAATGACCATAGAACAAAGAATGGAAAAAGGGAATTAGGATTGGTTTGTTATCCTAAGGTACTCATGATACCTGCAAAGTGGTAAAATGTTACTTGAAAGTAGACTTGGATTCTGTGTAAATGTTTAATAATAATGATGATAATAAGTATTATAGAGAACTGAATGGAAACTACTAAAAAATGCTCCCCCCCCTTTTTTTTTTAAGTAGGCTCATGCCCAGCATGGAGCCCAGTGCAGGGCTTGAACTCAGAACCATGAGATCAAGACCTGAGCTGAGGTCAAGAGTCAGATGCTTAACTGAGCCACCCAAGTGCCCCTAAAAAGTGCTTTTAGAAAAGTATAACTGATATGCTAAGAAGAAAATGCAATTATATAAAATGCTCATTTAAAACCATAAGAGGGAGAAAAATAGTGAAAAACAAGAACAAAGACAAGCAACAAATGGAAAATAATAACATGTACTAATTAACTGTATGTGTCTACAAGAAACCCACTTTATGTACAAGACACATAGATTAAAAGTGAGTGGATAGAGAAAAATATTGTGTGCCAATACTCATCAGAAGAAGCAGGAGTAGACTTTCAGAGTAGACTTCAAAGCAGGAAAGTTATCACCGATAAAGAAGGGTGTTACATAATGACAGAGGGGTCAGTTCTCCAAGAAGACATTACAGTTCCTGATGTGTATGTGCATAACAGCAGAGTAAATCTGCATCAGGCAGGTACTAATAGAATTTCAAGGAGAAATAGTTGTACCCATTATCATAGTTGTGGACTTCAACACTATCAGAAACGGACGGATCCATCAAGCAAAGAAGCAGTAAGGACATAGTTGAACTCAAAAATACCATCAATCAACTGGATATAATTGACGTCTCTGGACTAATTCATCAGCAACAGAATATGTACAAGATCTATCTATAGAAGGGAAACTACAAAACTCTGATGAACAAAATCAAAGAACAAAATGGAGGTGTATTCTAGTTCATGAATAGGAAGACTCAGTATTGTTAAAATGTCAGTTTTTCCCAACTTGATTTTTGATGCAATACAATCCCAGTCAAAATCCCCACAAGTTATTTTGGGGATATCAACAAATTGATTTTAAAGTTTATAGGAAGAGGCAAAAGACCCAGAATAGCCAACACAAATTAAAAGAGAAGAACAAAATCAGAGGTCTGATGCTACCTTACTTCAAGACTTCACTATAAAGTTCAGTAATTGATACATTGTAGTATTAGCAAAAAATAAAAATAAATAAATGGAAAAATGGAACAAAATAGAGAGCCTAGAAATAGACTCACATAAATATAGTCAATTGATCTTTGATAAAAGAGCAAAGGCAAAACAAGCAAAGATGGTCTCTTGAGTTAATGCTACAGGAGCAAGTGAGCATCCACTTACAGAAAAATGGATCTGCACACAGACTTTCACCCTCTTCAAAAAAAATTTAACTCAAAATGGATCACAGACCTAAATGTAAAACACGAAACTATAAAACTCCCAGAAGATGGTAATGACTTGGGGATGGTAATGACTTTAGATATAGCACCAAAGACATGACTCATGAAAGAAATAAGAATAAACTAGACTTCATTTAAATTAAAAACTTCCCCTCTGTGAAAGCCAATGTCAAAAGAATGAGAAGCCACACACTGGGAGAAAATATTTTCAAAAGGCACATCTGATAAAGGACTATTATCCAAAATGTACAAAGAACTCTCAAAATCCAACAAGAAGACAAACCAGTATACTCCAGTGTTTCAGAAATACTTAGAAAAACAAAACAAAATTAAATTATCTTCACAAAGAAATTCTCAAGGAATCTGTAAATCTAATAAGACTCAGTTAAAAAAAACTTAGGTTTATGTGTAAAAAAAACTTTTGACAATGAAATTTAATACTCATATTGAGAATGAAATATTAATATATGGAATAAGGGAATACAGTGTTTCTTTTTTTATGGAAATTTTTCAAATCCACTTAGATCTCTTTCTAGGATGTCTGGTTTTTTAAATACCAAAGAGTCCTTTCTGGCCTGTAGTTTTTAATAATCAATTTATATTATAAAATTTATTTGTCTTGTTTCAGGTACAATATTTAGATCATGGATTCACCGAGAAGATTCCACAGTGTCATCTTTACCCTATTTTACTATATCCTGATACACCCCAGTTTTGTATTCCTTGTCAGCTCTATAATATCAAATCTGTGAGTAAATTGTGATTTGTAGGATGATTAATTTTAAATATTACCTTTTTATTAATAATTTTCTAGAAATTAGAATGTAAGATGAAATCCCTTTCAGTTGTAGCAAAAATAATAAAATGCTTAGAAATAAGTTTAATAAGACAGCTAGAGGGCCTTTTTAAAGAAAACTACAAAGTCAAACTGAAGGATATTTAAAAAAACAAAAACAACAATCTGAGGGGTGCCTGGGTGACTCAGTTAAGCATCTGACTTCAGGTCAAGTCATGATTGTGCAGTTCACGAGTTTGAACCCCGTGTTGGGCTCTGTGCTAACAGCCCAGTGTGCAGCCTCCTCCAGATTCTGTGTCTCCCTTTCTCTCTCTGCCCCTCCCTCACTCATGCTCATGTGCTTGCTCTCTCTCTCTCTCAAAAATAAACATTAAAAAAATCTGAATAAGTAAAGAGACCTGGTATCTTCATAACTGGGAAAGTGTAAGACTTAAAATTTAGTTATTTCTTCATCAAATAAAATCACAACACATTTGAAGCTGGGAATCAGATAAAGGAGTATTATATTATCTCTTGCTGCATGAGGCATGAAGCTAAAACTTAGTGGTGTAATCAACAATAACTTTTTTTCTTCTCATATGGTTTCTGTGGTTCAGGGAATGGGAGCAGCTTAACTGAGTGGTTTTGGTTCAGAACCCCCAGTAATAACTGCAGTGGATATGTCCACGCATGAGTACGTACAATCATCTGAAGGGTCCCCTGGAATAGCAGATCTGCCTCCCAGTCACATTCACACGGCAGTGTCTGGAAGTTAGGGCTCCTCAGCGGCTTTTGCCAAGAGGCCCCAATTCTTTGCCATGTGAACTTCTTAACATTAAATTAGCAATAATCGCGCCTCGGATAAACCTCATTGGCTACGATACTGCCACTGCGCAAAGCTAAACTTCTTAACATTAAAAACACAACCATCACTGGTCCTTAATAAATACCTACTGTAAGCATTATACAAGCACCACATTGGCATATTGGTATTTAAATAAAAAGTTTTACGATGCTTTGTTTTTAATGTAGATTTATATTTTTAAAGCCAACAAAGCTTTAAGAGAGAACTGTGGGGGTAAACTCAAACAAATTATTAGTTTCATATACCCATGATATTCTCTTAAAACTGCTTGTATATTTTATACTTCTGTTGACTGTTATCTGTTTATGGCTACTTTTGTATAACTTCACTTGCTTTCTGCTCTGTCATATTTTGTGAAAGTGTGAAAGAATCTGAGCTTATTAATCCCAAATAGGTTGGGAATGTCTGGCAACCAGATGCAATAGAACTCCTTCAGGAACTGCTTTCAAAGAGAGAGGTGGAAATTCACATTATGGTAATTTATATTCAAAGCATATATTGTTGATTTAAGTTATTGGCCATAAACTGTTGTAGGCAACATAATTAGAGAAATGTTTTTATGATGAACAGTTTTCCTATATGAATATAGCTTATTAACATGGAAAAGTTACAACTTTGGTTTCTAGGCTTGATTTAAATCTAATTTTGAGCAAGTTTGTGAGAACTGTCATAAGCACTAAAGTGCTTTATTAACACTTAATAAGGAGCAATATCAAAGAATTGGAGATGTTTATAAATATATGTAGTAGTTCTCAGGATGTGACCATGTGTTTAGCACTATGTTCGGTGCAGGTCCTCAAAGACCTCATCTAATTAGTGAAACAACTAGATCTAAGACACAAACCTAAAAACTTCACACTACAAAGTGACATGCGAAGAGACGAGTGACTGGTAAAAAGAGTAAATGTTCTAGGAATTTAGAGACAGTCAGTGAGGTAGCCCTTAAAGAAAAGTTGAGAAAGTTCTTCTGACCAGGGGAATGGAATTTGTAAGTTGGCATAGAGAGACAGAACTGGGCACGGCAGTTAGGAAATAGCATAACTGTTTGACTAGAATCATGGAGGTTTTGTGAGGAGAAGTAGTGGTGAATCAGCGGAGCCCCGTTAGAGGTTTCTGAGCAGTGAAGTAATGAGATTACTCTGCAACTCTGTTTGAGGATTCCAGTAGGAAGATACAAACACTGTCAGGAAGGTGTTTCTGTATGAAAGGTGGTTGAGTATAGGGTGGTAAAGACTTAACAAGAGCCGCACACCGCTTCTATAAGACAGTACAGAGCTGATGTCGGAACCAAGAGCCCGCTCTCGTTACTCACAGCCCTTCTGGAAAATCATGGCAGTAAGGTAGAGATCAGCATTTCTTAGTTTATCAAGGTAGCTTTCTTTGCTGCTTAGCTTCACACAGGAGAACAATTCATAGGACACCCAAGGCTGCTTAAATTGTCAGAAACCACGAATGTGCATGCCCACAGCCCTTACCGCCGTACCTGACCTTACCGAGACTTGTGTGTGCTAAGAAATACTGCCTGCCTGCCTCTTCTGTGCTGAACTCTGTTCTCAGCCTGGAGGCACAACAATGGACTGAATAGTCAGATTTCTCCCTTGGGGAGCTTCCATTTCAGTGGTGGGAAACAAAATTTAAAAACGTAACCTAGAAGCTATATTAGATTGTGGTAAGTGCTAGGAAGAAAACAAAGCAGGAAGGGCTGATGGGGAAAGTGTGGCGGGGGAGGAGTAACATTTTAAATACAGTGGTCAAGGAAGACCTCACTGCAAAAAAATGAGATGTGAGTAAAGATTCTGAAATGGTGAGAGGACAAACCAGGAGGGCCCTGGAGAACAGTGCAGCGAGAGAGCAAGCCTGGAGCGACCGAGGGCTGCCAGGGGCCCCTGGCTGCAGCGGGCGCAGCGAGGCGGGAAAGAATTGGAGACGGGCAAGAGATGTGGGACAGCTTCAGCTGTAAGGACTGACATGATCTGCCTTTAACGTTCTAGTATTTTCACTCTGCTGTGCTGAGAAAAGCTAGAGAGTAGAACAGATAGGCGCCAGGATCTGCTGGAAGGCAATCCCCGGAACTCAGAGAGACAGGAGTCTGGACTAAGGTGGTCCCAAGGGAAGATGATGAGAAATGATCAGCCTGTCCACTGCGTCCCTAACTCTAAGTGGCTTAGGAGTTTAAAGTCGTCATCAGAGCTCCTTCTAGACCGTCACTCATGTCTTCTGATTCTGCCATTTTTAGATTATTAACAAAACTTCATTTCTTTATCTCTGAACATACTTTTTCTTTCTCCTCCTACTTACTGTAAATTATTAGTATTATTTTTAATAGAAATACATTTTACAGAAGCTATAATAGTAGAATCACTGTGTTATAAACTGCCAAAAGACCAGGAAGAAAATTTTATGAAATGAGCCACTAGTCAAACTGGTAATAATGTGATTGTCAGAACTCCAACTTCATTATTTGTCTGCTATAAAATTTGAATCTTCAAACAGACTTTATTTTTATAGTAATAATCTTTATTGAACTTAAACAGGAATTACCTGAAAACCCGTGGGGGAAACCATCAGTTCATCTCTATTTTGATGGAATGTCACTTTCTTATTTTATGGTATACCATAAATATTGTACTTCTGAGCATTCTGAAGAGATATTGAAAGAAGTAAGTGAGCTGTTTTTCTATAAGAACCTAAGTTATTGAAAAAAAAATTCTGGATAAAATGTGTTTTGCCTTACACTTCAAGTCTCCAATATCTTTGTGTTTGACATGTTAGGAGAGTATAGAGAATTTTTAAATTATTTGTTGAGAAAGCAATATACTACGTCATGCTTTATATATGTCCTAAAGAAGACTTTAATTACGTTAAGATTCATTTCATGTTTCTGTATCTTCATACCTAGTGAAAAACCATATATTATCTAATGTTTTATATATATGCTGTTTGAACATATATATAAAAATCTTAGTAGAATTCGCTACCAGAAAAGGATTCTCTCCCCAGATAAGTTTTTTTCCTTTTATTTGACATTTTAACATTTCCCCCATTTTGCTTTCTAACAGGAAACTCAGAGCTGGATTTTAAGCTTAGCTTCAAGAAATAGCCCTTTCCAGTTTTCCAGTGCTTCTGTTTTTTATATTTTAAAAAATAGCCTATTATAGTTATGTTTTCACATTGCAAGATGCCGTAAACACTTAGTAGCAATAGGGAATCATCATAAATAGTAAAATTAATGTTTTACATAGCAAGTTATTTTTTATTTCTAGACTTACAGTTCACTTGTTAGGTTTTTAAATACTCATTTTTGTGACAAGACACAACTAAATATTGAATGTTTAGTTCAATATAGAAAACTATTTCTCTCACATAGAAATGTGATATTACTTTGTACATGTAATTCTCACTGCCAGCTTTTTCTTTTGAGCAGAGGGGTGTGTATGGTATGTGTATGTATGTGCATGTGTATTTGTACTCGTGTTTGTATGAAAGGTGTTCTGTTAAACTGGTTTTATAAAGATTACTGAGCCCCTCCCTTACAGGTGTACTCTGCAGTGTGAACATTTAAAAGACGAGGTAAGAACTCCTTTCTGCAGTTGGCCCTTGAACATCACAGCTTCGAACTGCATGGGTCCACTTATATGTAGACTTTTTTTTTTTTTTTACAGTACTGTAAATGTATTTTCTTTATTATTAATAACATTTTTTCTAGCTTACTTTATTGTAAGAATACAGTAGTGTTCATCAACTCTTTGGATTATTGGTAAGCCTCTGGTCAAAAGTTAGGTTTTGGGGAGTCAAAAGTTATATGTGGATTTTCAACTGTGTATGGGGGGAGGGTGGATGCTCCTAACCCTCATGTTGTTCAAGGGTAGCTGTGATTACCATTGACATGTGTTTAACATGATTTTGATGATTCTTATTGTTGCACTATGAAGATTACTCAGAACATTAGATTTTCCCATAGTTAACCTAAAATAACTACATGAATGCCAACAAGAACATGCACCCAGTTTTTGTGGGGACAAAATATGAAAGTGCCTTAAAAATATTGTATAGTTGAAGATGGTTTATTTATTAACAGTATAGTTGAAGATGGTTTATTAACAATATTTTGTTATTTCAGAAACTTACAGGTTACGATAAAAAGTACGAGGACAAAAGATGGGAAATAAGATTTGAGGTAAGTTTCAATCCAAACATTTTGGAAACTTTGGATACTTCATCAATACAGAGGATCTAATATAAGATCAGGAAGTAAGCATTTCTTTTATAACTTTATAGAGACATAACTTACATAGTACAAAACTCACCATATTAAAATGTACAATGCAGTGGTTTTTAGTATATTCAGAGTTGTGTAGTCATTACAGCTACTTAATTCCACAGCATTTCATCATCCCAGAAAGAAACGCTGTACCAACAGGGGTCACTTCCCATTTTTCCACTTTCCTAGTCTCCTGGAGAGCAGTAATCTGTCTCTCTGGATTTTCTTATTCTGGACATTTTACATAAAGAGAATCACAGAATATGTAGCCCTTTGTAACACAGTTCCTTTCACTAGAATAACATTTTTAAGTTTCATTCATATGGCAGTATGTATCCTTCTTACTGATGAATAATTTTACACTCTATGATATACTACATTTTGTTTATCCATTCATCTCTTGATGGATAGTTGGGTTTCCACCTTTTTGCAGTTGTGAATAAAGCTGTGAACATTTGCGTGCAAGTTCTTATGTGGACATCAGTTTTCACTTCTCTTGGGTATGGACTTGATTCCTACCAGTGGAATTGCTGAGTCATATAGTGATTCTTTTTACCATTTTAAGGAACTATGAGACTGTTTTCCAAAGGGGATGCACCATTTTACTCTTACACTAGGAATCTCCAAGGTTCCATTTTTTCCCCCATATCCTTATCAACACTTGTGACCTGACTTTTTCACAGCCATCCTAGGATAGGTGTGAAGTGGTATTTCATTGTGATTTTGATTTGCTTTTCTCTGCTGACTGATGATGGTGAGCATCTTTTCATGTGCT